TCATAAATGCAGACGCCTGAGGGCTGGACTGCTTCTCCTTGACTTTTGAGAAGAAGGGGGGCTGGAGAGAGAAAGTTGCAGCAATTGAGAAAGGGGCTGGAACGAACCTGGGGGGGGCTGCAATAGATGAGGGTCAGGATTAAAATTCGGAGAGGGAGCCGGGCGGGCACTGCGTGATCAAAAGCTGTCAGGAGACAGGCTAAAGTTCACCTCCTGGTTTTGAAAGGAGCTAACCCGAAATTGTTGGCTGCTGGCTCTGATCCTGGAAGAGTTTCCCAGGTGATTTTTTATTTTTTTTTAGAAACAGCAATAAAAAAACAGAGAACACAGAATAACAGAGATGGAAGGGACCTTTGAGGTCTTCTAGCCCAGCCCCTTGCTCGAGCAGGAGATGCTGTACCGTTTCAGACAAATGGCTGTCCAGTCTCTTCTTGAAATCCTCCANCTATCCCAGGCGCTAGAGACGGGAGGAGCGCAGGCGCAGTGCGAGGGTGAGTCCGGCGCGCGCTCCCCGGCTTGGCATGCCAGGCCGCGCAGGCGTAGTCGGCGCCGCGGGGAAACCCCCCCCTCCCTCCTTCCCCTTCCCCCACCCTCCCGTATGATTCGGGGGGGGAGCGGCGGCGCGCGCGGGGCGTGTGGGGGGGGGCGCTTCGGCTTACGGCTGATGCAGTCGCGGTATATGATCATGGCTGAGGCGGCGGGCAGGCGGTCGGCGTCAGGCCGGGTGGAAGAGCGCTAGTGGCGGCAGCCCCCGGCGCGAGCGAAGAACGAGGCGGAAAAAGGCCGAGGAGGCGCCTCCGCGGAGCTCATATAGCCAGCAGGGCACGTCCCTGCCATCCGTGCGTCGCCAATCGCCGCGCTCCTCATGACGCACGAAACTGTGACGTAGGCACGCACGCACGCTGCCCGCCCTCTTTCTCGTGGCTCCAGAAGCAAGAAACAGACTCGCCCAAGCGCAGGAAGGGACGCGCAGTTTTCGGGTTCGCTTGTCAGGATTTGAGCCTAGGGAAGAGTAACACCCCCATCACCCCCGAAAGGGAAACAAAGCCCATCCTCTGGAGTTGTTTATGTAGTCCCAGAAAATTGGGGGTTATATTATCTCTCTCTGCATCTCAGAGTGGATTGCAATGCCTACATACTTGCCTTAGATCTTATCAATCTGGCCAGGCTACAGAGAACTTTACATGGAATAAATTCTGAATTTAATTTTAAATGAATTAAATTCTCCTTCAAGAAAAATAAAAACAGCAGTCTAGTCGCCTTTGGAAAAAGCACCTTTGAGACAACAATGCCCTGGATGACTGAGAATTTCCACAGGCATTTAAATTGAATTGAAATCCTCATTGCAATTGAAATCTTTCAGGAGGGCAAATTAGAAGCAAGTACGCCCATAACTCCTCCACTTATGACCATAATTGAGATCAGAATTTATATTGCAAAGTGAGACAGTTGTGAAGTGAAGTTCCCCCATCTTACAACCTTTTTTGCTACGGTCGTTAAGCAAATCACTGCAGTTGTTAAGTTAGCCACATGGTCATTAAGTGAATCCAGCTTCCCCATTGACTTTGCTGGTCAGAATGTCGCAAAAGGGGATCACATGACCCTGGGACACTACGGCCGTCATAAATACGAGTCAGTTGCCAAGCGCCTGAATCCCGTGGCCATGGGGATGCAACAGTCATAAGTGTGAAAAACAGTCGTAAGTCACTTTTTTCCGTGCCGTGATAACTTGAAACGGTCACTAAACAAATGCTTGGAAGGCTACTTGCATTTTGCAGAAAAATGAGTTCCAACTCCAGTTCTATTGTCAAATTGCACCTTTGAAAACTTTCTGAAGAAGAAAATTAACAATGTTAAAAGAAAAGACTCTCATTTAAAACCAAAAGGATTTCGGTTTCATTCAAATCTCTTCTTTTTTCTCCTTTTTCAAGCCTCCCCTGAAAACCATTTTTGGGACGAATGGGGCCACGACTTAGTAGATGAACTGAAGATGTCAGTTTGGAACTATCTGGTAGTAAATACATTAAAAGCCTCTGTTTTGGTAACTCATCAGTAACAATCTGGAGAAATCATGCAGACTTGGAGTAAATCTAACGGACTAATATATAATTATGCATTTAATTTGCAGTGGGTAAGGCCATCTGACTGATGTTTCCCGGAAAAGCTGGATTTTTACGGGCTCTCTGAAAATATTGCCATGACTGGCTAGGAAGGACTTTGGGAGATAAAGCAAAACATTGGAAAAACAAACTGTGTTACTTCAATTATAAAGACATTTGTTCCAAGGACTGCCAATAAATTTTAAATAAATAAATAATCCCCCCCCCCAAAAAAAAATATTTTAGCTGTGTTGGAAGTAATATTGACTAACAAACAGCAAAGTCTTGAAAAAGAATTAGTATCGGTTTATTGACATTTAGTTCCTGTACGTTAGACAGATAAAATCATCCTTAATACTGTATGTGCAAATAGGGGATCATGCCAGCCAAAACCTCAGCTGGTCTCCAAAAGCAGAATATCTTATATCTGGTTGGCAGTTGGAGGAAGAACCGCACCAGAAATCTCAGGTCTATAGATAAGATTGTGTGTTTGTGTGCAAGAGGGAGGGAGGGAGGGAGGGAGGGAGAGAGAGAGAGAGAGAGGGAGGTGTGTATTTGAGAAGAAAACACAGCAAAGCACTGAGCTAGCCCAGGCATTTCTTTACCACAAGACCCACTTTTGGCTAGTAGGAAGCTGAGCTACATATTCCTTTGCTGTCTTCAGCTCCACTGTGTAGAGATTTCCAGTCTTTCTCCCCATTCCCCCCTCCCTCCCCCCCCCCCCCCCCTCTTTCTTTCTTTCTTTCTTTCTTTCTTTCTTTCTTTCTCTCTCTCTCTCTCTTTGTCTGACTGACTCTTTCTGACTCTTTTTTCTCTTTTTCTTTCTCTTTTCTTTCCCCTTCTTTCTATTTCTCTGTCTTCCTCTCTCTTTCTGTCTCTTTTTCGCTTTGTCCCTTTTTCTTTCTTTTTCCCTCTTTTTTCCATTTTCGCTTTTTTCTTTCTTTTTGACTTCTTTCTTTCTCTTTCTCTTTGACTTTTCTCTTTCTCTTTCTTTTTTCTTTCTCTGACTTATCTCTTTTTCACTTTTTTCTTCCTCTTTCTCTTTTCCACTTTCTGTTTTTTCTTTCTCTTTGACTCCTTTCGAGTTTTTCTTTCTTTTTTCTATTTCACTTTCCTTTCTCTCTCTTTCTCTTTCTCTCCCTCCCTTCGGACGCCTTCATTTGCCTCCGCTGGGGGCCGGGGCGTCTCTCTCTCTCGCCGGGTCCCTTGGGGAGGAGCGCCGAGCGAAAGGCGGGGAGGCCCGGCCGGCTTCTGTGAGCTCCTTCCTTCCCTCCGTCCCTCCCTTCCTTTCTTGCCCGCCTTCCCCTCCTGGCCGCTGCCTGCTCGGGGTCCCGGGGCCGCTTCTGCGGGAGGCTGGCCGGTAAGTGAGCCCGGGGCGGTGGGGGGCGGAGGGTCTGGGGTCTCGTGGGGAGGGTGGGTGTCCTGGCGACCCTTCTCAACCCCTTCTTGCTTGCCTCTCTTGCAAAGCCTCCGCCTGGGAGAGCCAAGCCCCGCGGGCGCCCGGTTGCAAACCTCGGCCGGCCGGCTCTCGGCTCCACCTGCCTGGCGGAGCCCTGGGCCGGCTCCTCCTCCTGCGGCCGGCCCTTCTCGGCTGTCTGAGCTCCGTCCCTGCCTGGACGGCACATTTGGCAGCCGCCCGCGCGGAGGAACAGCCGGCTCCTCTCCCGCTTTGACCGCCGAGGCGCCCTTGAGTAGCGCTGATGCTGAATTACACCTGGCTCTTGCAGGGGCTGGCGGAAAAGGTGAGCAGCGGGATGGGAGGCCACGAGGAAAGCCACACACACCCCCAAGCAGAGAGGCACAACCCTGCTAGGCAGCTAGTTCTCAGCTTCCAACCATTCGGTTAGTGACCGAGGTTATAACAGTCCTGGAAAAAAGGAAACTGATGACCCTTTTTCATATGTAGGACCCTTGTGGCATTCCCACGGTCATGTGACCCAACTTCAAAGGCTTGGCAACTGGCATGTACTTATGCAGGTTGCAGCGTCCCAAGGTGTCACGTGATTCCCCTTTTGCCACCGAAGCCAAGATTCACCTGACAACCATGGGATTAATTTAATGATTGGTTTAAGGGCAGAAGTAAGAAAGGTCATAAAATTGGGGCAAAACTCACTTAACAGCCATCTTGTTTAGCGACTGAAATGTTGGGCTCAACATTGGGGTTGCAAGTTGTGTTCCTGGCCCCTTAAAGCCTCCACTGGATGGGTCAGGGATATCCACCAGGAACCCCTTTGATTTCCCAAGGTTTCCCTTTTATTGGTGCTTAAATTTATGTTTTGCGGTATGCCAAGAAGATTCAGTTTATTATTATTATTTTTAAGAAAAGGAGGTTCACACAGTGATTGAACCTATAAAGTCACCAAAGAAGCTTGCTCCTTTTGACACTCTAAGCTTCTAAAGAACTAAACCAAGCTTAACCCTAAGGGGGTTTAAGCTCTGATGCCTTTAAGTCTTTTACCGATATGGTTAAGCTCATTGTCAGATGACGGGCATACTTGGATAAAAATAGACGCGTCTCCATGAAATATGCTGGAAAAGAACATTAGGCATAAATTGAAGACAATAGATATAATCCTGGAGGCATTTTATGTTCCATGGGGAGTTTTCTTAAAGATACAAAGACCATATTGTATATAATATACAATTTATTGCTTAATTGTATAATATTGTATAATGTTGTCTGGAAGGTACAGTGACCATTATTGCATATTTATTATTAAAGGACAAATCTGAAAAGAGATTTTTTTTAAAATTTAATTGCTTGTATTGATAACTTTGCCTTAAAGAAGAAAATCAAAGAGGAAAAGCAAGGAAAACTTTAATAGAAGCGCATATCCTAATACAAATACCTAAACTCAAAGAGTATATGTAAACTTANCGCTTTAGTCTACCGCGGTTTTGTGGTGGAACCGTCTTGAGGTGGGAGGGCTAAATCGCTCAAAGAATGAAACAAGATGCTGGAATGAAAAAAAAAATGTCAGGAGGGAATAGTCGCCTTTTCCCAAGATCTGGGATCCAGATAAAAAGCAGCTAAAGTTCTTGCCTTTGTAACCCAATTTTCTGTATTTAGGAATTAAAATTGCTGCTTCACCGATCAACATTGCTGTTCTCTCAGGGCAACATGTATGGCTATGTAGATTCTTTGCTCACCATGTTAGCCATGCTGTTAAAGGTAAGTTAATTTAAAAGGTAACGTGTGCAGTTTTGTATTTACAGATGTGGGTCTTTCTGTATTGAACTGTAACAGTTGTATCTATGGGTGACTTCAGACAATGAAAATTTATGGTTTCTAATCAATTTTAATCGGCTTTGTAATTGGATCAAGCCAACTGTATCAAAGATCTTTGGCACTTTTTATTGTTCACTTTGTTAAGTCTGGGATGCAGTTACAAACTGAAAAAAATCAATAAACTATTTGAAAGCAAAGAATGGGCAACTGTGAGGTATTTCTTTTTTCAGATGTGTTTTAAATGTTCAACTTGCAGGTAGCCATGAACAGAGCTCAGGTGTGTTTAATATCTAGCTCAAAATCGGGAGAAAGACATCTCTATCTTATAAAAGTTTCAAGAGATAAAATCTCTGATAATGATGACCAAGAAACAACAAAGAAAGGTAAGACAATTTAAATTGTTCAAATTGTGGAAACAGTTGTCTACTGCAGTCTATAAATGTTGATAACCTGGCCTTTGTTAAATACGCTTTGAGCAAATTTTTCAATTATAAGGCTTTTTGATATTCCTTCAGTTTTATTGAATCCACATGTTAACCTCTACTTCAGACTTTTATTAATGTTTTCAATTATGTTTTCGTTTTATGTTCTGTCTGTGTAAAAATTAACTGTAGTTTATGGTTGACTCTAGCTATATTTTTGGTGCTTACAAGTGTTCTGACAAAAGAGGATTGGTGGAACCTTCTCCTTAAGGCAATCTATGCATTGTGTGACCTTACGCGATACAAGGAGGCAGAACTGCTAGTGGATTCCTCTCTGGAATATTATTCATTCTATGATGATCGGCAGAAGCGCAAAGAACTGGAATACTTTGGTCTCTCGGCAGCAGTTTTAGACAAGAATTTTAGAAAAGCTTATAATTATATCAGGTAGGTCATTCCAACAATCACATTGGGTTAAGGCAGTGGTTCCCAAACTTGGCAACTTTAAGACTTGTGGACTTCAATTCCCAGAATTCTCCAGCCAGCTCTGCTGGCTGGAGAATTCTGGGAGTTNAGTAAGGCTTGGAGGTGATTGGCCCCTCCCACAAGACATAAAAGAGGAGAAAATGGGACGTGAGCCTTTGCAGGAAGCAATGCATTCTGGTCGGTTCAAGCTCTGAGAAGCCCCGTTTGACTCTGTGCTCCATTTGGTCTTGCAAAACCAATTGGCCACGAGGTCTCTGGCAGCATTTCAAGGGAGATAAAGGTGGGTGCTTATCAGCCTTTCCATGAAAGACTTTGGCAGACTTCTGTCGGACTCTTCACAGACTCTTTGTGAATCATTACGGGCTGTGAATGAACATAATTCACAGCTGTCTAAATAAAAGAGGGTTTTGGGGGGCTAAGATTGTGATTTATGCTTTCTTGGGAAGCCTCGGTCGGAACAAGTGTTTAGAAGACTGCAGGATAGCCAGGCACTTGATTTTATTACACCTGTGTTCCCCCTCTTTCAGAATTGCCCCGGCTATGCTACGCCAGGCCTCCTACGGGACCATAAAAATAGGCACTTATCAGAGTTTGAAAAGGATATTTGTTGAACGGCCAGAAGGTAAGCAGATTTTGTTTTTGCAGATCTGAGCTCGTAGATCAAAGCTAAAGAGAGGCCAGAGCAGAGAAGCTAGAAGACCTTGAATGCAAGGGTCAGCTAAAAGAATAACAGAGTTGGAAGTCTGTAGAGATTCTCCGTCCTCCAGGTCCTGGTTGCCCCAAAGGTGCTTTTTCAGGAGGCAACTGGACTTTCTTCTTTTTTCTTTCGAAGACGTTTCGCTTCTCATCCAAGAAGCTTCTTCAGCTCTGACCGGATGGTGGGAAACAGAAGGATTTATACTCCTTGCAGACAGCTGGTCATTTGCATCCTTTTTGGGGGTCCTTGAGGCCACTTGGAGGTTTCTCTGTGTCCTTAGGGACACCCGAGTGGTGCAAATGGTTCCTGTGTTCTGCAATTTTTTTTTGCTCTGGAAATCCCTTCCTACTCCCACATCATCCCAACGGTCTCCATCCCAAATTGTGTAGCTAAAAGTCTGTGGATATTCCCCATCATCCAGGTGCTGGTTGTCCCAAAGGTGCTTTTTTTCCAGGAGGCAACTAGACTTTCTTGTTTTTTTCTTTTTCTTTTCTTTAATTAATTTTTTTTATTTTTTTGTTACATAAACAACACAGTGGGAAAAGAAAAAATCAAAACACAAAAAAGACAAAAAACAGAAAACAAGGCAGGAGAAAAAAAGAAAGAAAGAAAGAAAG